GTAGCGCGGAAGAGAGAGAGTAGCGCAACGGGAGAGAGAGAGAGAGAGAGAGAGAGAGAGAGAGAGAGAGAGAGAGAGAGAGAGAGAGAGAGAGAGAGAGAGAGAGAGAGAGAGAGAGAGAGAGAGAGTAGCGCGATGGGATAGAGAGAGAGTGGCGCGGTGGGAGAGAGAGAGAGAGAGCGAGAGAAGCGTGGCTGAATAGAATGTGTAGCGCCGCTGAAGAGTGTAGTGCGGCGCGACGAGAATGACATGGCGCGGCAAGAAGGAGAGCGGATGAGAGTTTCGCTGCAAAAGAGGATGTGACGCAGGTAGATGGCAACAGTCCCACTCCTTTCAATGAGCACTCACCCTCTCTCTCTCTCTCTCCTCGCCTTTCCCTCCGTTTACTCGCCTCTTCCAATCTCTCCGCACCTCTCCCTCTCTATTCGCGCCTCTCCCTCTCTATCCACGCCTCTCTCTCTTTCTCCCCACCTCTCCCTCTCTCCCGTCACCTCTCCTTCTATTTCCGCGCCTCTCCTATTTCCGCGCCTCTCCTATTTCCGCGCCTCTCCTATTTCCGCACCTCTCCTATTTCCGCACCTCTCCTATTTCCGCACCTCTCCTATTTCTGCACCTCTCCTATTTCCTCACCTCTCCGATTTCCGCACCTCTCCTTTTTCCGCACCTCTTCTATGCACCTCTCCTTTTTCTGCACCTCTCTGTCTATTTCCGCGCCTCTTCTCTCTCTCCGCGCCTCAAACTCTATCTCCGCGCCTCTCACTCTATCTCCGCGCCTCTCCCTCTCTTTTCGCCCACTTCCTCTCTCTCTGCTCCTCTCCTTCGATTTCGCAAGGGGTTTCCTTCTCGTGCTCCCGCTCTGAACACCTCTCCCGCTCACTGTAACTCTCCCGCTCTCCGCACCTGTCGCCGTGCATCTCTCTCTGTATCGTGGTTTTTCGTATTTTGCACTCAGTATTTTTCCTGCACGTTTTATTTTGCAGGTACTTTGAAGTGACATCTGAGGGGAAATGCGTGCCTTGGCTCTCAAAATCAAGGTCCTCAACTCGTCTTTCGCAGGATAGCGGGATGGCTTGTGATTTGCGAGAATCCTGTAAAATGTTCATTCGTATTTTTGTCGCCGGCTTTCGCACAAACACAACCTGCCCCCCAAAAAAATAATTGTCTCGCAAGGTTCCAACCAACACACTCTTGAGCCTGAACTATTACGAGTTGGGTCCAACTTGAAAGGGGGATCACTATTTTAGCCTCTCGCTTTAAAGCGATAGGCTATATTAGTGACCCATGTTTCTAGTTGCGCCCAACTTGATTGGGACCCTGAGTAGATATGGGGGGGACAAGCGAGCGGGCAGTAGAACATGTCGTTTCGGGGCGGGCAGGCGCTTGCCAGCGAAAGTACCTGCCCGTGCGACAAATTCAGATGCGTAGCAAAGGGTGTGTTTATACACATACTACTCAACACACCTCGTTTCGGGAACATGTGCTGTAGTGCATCGACCTTTGTTGAGTGCAGCTGAATTGGACTTCAAATGGTTGCGCGAAGTAGAAAAGAAAAGTTTGTGTTCTGGAAGTCCTGGAAAACACGCGTGATTTGGCTGCGCTAGATGCGGCAAATGTGAACCAACCAGAATGAGAGTTGTGTTTTTGTGTGAGTATTGAGTGGGGCCCACTTGGAGAATAACGAGGCAGTGGATCCACACAAGTGCCTGCGACCACTGACAGCTCGCAAACCCGTTTGCGGAATTTTCCCAGCCAATCGTGTGCTCGCGCTTATTCGCTCTGTACATCGCATCTGCATTGTGAAAACTGCCCTAGCTCTGCCGAGTGGGGCTGTCAGTCCCTAGGACAAAATTTAGGGTCCCTTAGTTTCAATTTGGGCCCCCCTTCACCATTTTAACCTCTCGCCTTAATCGTCAGAAGACCAAGAGTCCGACACAACAGCAAGGACACCTAACTGACCCCACATTACAGCAAGGGAAGCTACATGAGTCGTGTACAATTACCCGAGCCGGAATGTACCCATGTGAAGTGCATTGTTAGTTGGACTCTACATATTCTCTTGTATCACTATATATATCCTGAATCCCTTCTATTTTAATACTCGTGTTATGCTACGTTCACTCTGACAAAGTCATGAGCCAATCACAACGCTCCTCGGGCTACCCAGGGATTGTAGAGATCTGGAGGGCCTACAAGAACGGCCCTACTCCACATCACGGCCTCGAGTGATAAAGCGGAAGTGCAAGGAATTGGTGGAGGAGGAGGATGGTACTAGTGGCCCCATAGAGGAGAGGAAGGAGGTAGAGGATGATACAGAGAATGATGGTGCTACTGAGGTTTCTTCTGTGTAGTGTTCAAATCGTAGTAATTGCTATTGAAATTGCTAACGAATCTAAGGATTCTACTAGGTGCTTGCGCCTTGAATTCATTATTCTAATGTTCTAGGTAATTGCCACGGCATTGTCAAAAGTAGTAGCTATGGAAACTTTCGTCGGCCTTTTTTTCCAGAGGAAGGATCTAACCTCTAGAAAAAGAAGAAGTTAGGATGATAAATACAAGCTTGTTCGTGGGTGAGGGTATCAGGAACCTAGCTTGTTCGTTATCATTTGTAATTTCGTTTGGGTTAAAATCTCCCTCTCTTATCCTTCAACAAGCCTTTGCCGCACGTTTTCACTACTGAAGCACGAATTGCAGCGAACTCGACTCAAGCACACCTAGATTTCCTCCCTCCACCTGTGCCCTTGTCTTGGGGAATTGTGTTGGGCTGGGGAAGCAGATACAGTAGTCAAAGCTCCCATGCTTGTAGGGCAGTGCAACAAGACGCCAACGAACTCGTGTAACGAAGTTTCGCCAACTCAACAAAATTTAATTTTGAGGTTGAAACCTAACCTTGAAATACACCCTTGGGGAATTCGAAGGTTGACTCCAACCTCGAATTGTTCAACCCATCAATATGAGTTTCCAACCTTGGGAACAACTACAGAGAGCCTTTTGCGCAGGGAAGGCTAAGGGTGGGCCTGAAGGCTCGACAATGAGAAGGAATGTAAACAAGGAACACTACTACACACTGTGGAATTTGGATTCCAGATATGTACAAGATGTTTCCTGGTGATTTACTACCATGCTTCCCTACAAGAATAACCCCCAAAACTCATCAGTGTATGTGTTAGGACCCTAGCATCATACATCAGAGCGTTTACAGTAACTGGTAGTGCTGCTGGTGCATTAGGGCTATTCCAAGTGAAATAACATATGCATTTCTTTTTCTCAGCTCGGTTGTAACAGTTAGGTCGTGGTTTTGTGCGTTACGGTAGTTTACATTGAAGTTTGGCAACTCAGGACACGACCAGGATATTCTTGAAAGGTTGCTTTCCCATAAGAGTATTTAGCGTCATGTTGACGTTGTACACCTAGCCCCCAAAAACATCCCTCGAAGGGCCTGATTCGACTACCCCTGAAAAACAGAATCAGCATGGATTTCTTGATGAAACTTTTACTTATCGATTTAGTGTTCCTTGCATCAGGAAATCCGGCGTGGGCGGAAATTCAACGTTGGGCAGCTTAGGCAGTGCTCAAAGTCTTTGACGCACACGTTCCATGTGGAGACTACCAAGCTTAGGCTGTAGGAACAAGGGAATACTGTCTACGCCCCATAAATGGTCAGGTGGCAATAAAAGTTCCGCTGCCGCCCAATTTTACGGTGTGAAATTACCGCCCGCTAGGTATCAATTTGTATGCCTTTCTAGATTGATAGTCGACAGGATGCTCAAACGAGGGGTCGGTTGTTCAAATTATATAAGTTATAATTTAATATAGGCTTGGTATGTTGTTACTGAACCTTTCTGTAGGGGGTACAAACCCCTCCTTGTACTCCTCTCTCTTCCTAATCCAATCTCTTCTTTCTCGTCACTTTTGCCTACTCCTAGATCTACTTGCCTCATGCCATTCCATGGCGTCCTTCCTTCCTTCCTAGCTAAGCTAGGTTCCTAAGTTTAGTTAGTGTCCTAAGCTTCTTTGAGATGCTATCAGAGCAGGAGATCCTCCCTGTTGGACCGCCTCCTCACGCTTCCGCCATTTACTCCTCACTCTCATTCGCTCGAGCGGCCATGGCGGCCGCGTTTTGCTGCAATGGCGACGTCGCGCTGCCACTGGCCGCGTCTTGCCGCGACCGGCTTGACGCGCTGCCGCGGAGTCGGGCCGTCGTTCTGCAGTCGCAGCGTCGACGTCCCGTTGCGGCATCAACGCTGCCTCTGCCGTCGCGACGTCCTGCTGCAGCGTCGACGTCGCTCTGTGACGGCGCCGTCGGGCCGCAGCCGGTTGCGCGACGCCTGTGACGCCGCCACCGCCCGCACGCCATCACGCCCACGACCTGTCGCGCCACACCGGGGGCTGCTGTCGCCCCGCCCCCTCCCCTCCCCCCCCCACCTGCACCTGCTTCCCCTGCATCCCCCCCTTTCTTGCTGCAGCCGATGACTGCCTCATGAGGGCCCTCTCCACCGCCGAGGAGACTGGACATGCCGCCGAGAGGGCGGGGGCCGCTGCACCGGCCTCTGACGTTCAAGCCGCCGCCGCAGCCGCTGTTGCCGCGGGCCTGGTGTCGCCGCACGCCGCCAACGCCGCTGTTGCCGCGGGCCTGGTGCCGCCGCACGCCGCTGCCGCCGCCGCTGTCGTCACTGTCGCCGCTGCCGCCATTGCCATCTCACGGGCCGTGGGAGCTGCCCTCTTCCGGAGTCGTTGCGGCTCCTGCTGGGAATGGGGGTGCTGGGCTAGGGGGTGTGGGTGTGGGTGTGGGTGTGGGTGTGGGGGTGTGAGTGGGCTTGACACTACCAAGCCTAGGGGGTGTGTTCAAATTATATAAGTTATAATTTAATATAGGCTTGGTAGGTTGTTACTGAACCTTTCTGTAGGGGGTACAAACCCCTCCTTGTACTCCTCTCTCTTCCTAATCCAATCTCTTCTTTCTCGTCACTTTTGCCTACTCCTAGATCTACTTGCCTCACGCCATTCCATGGCGTCCTTCCTTCCTTCCTAGCTAAGCTAGGTTCCAAAGTTTAGTTAGTGTCCTAAGCTTCTTTGAGATCGGTTTGGTGGAACATGTCGGGAGCGCGCTGGCCCAACTGACCAGTTTATCTGCCGCGCCAAACCTGGTTCGGTGTGCTGGTGACATAAGGAGCCTCGGTTTGTTTGGGGAGGGTCTTGTTTGGGATTGGTTGCTGTGGAACACGTTGGAGCAGAAGCATAACAAAAATTGGGATTATGGCGAGGTTACCCGACTAGCGAGGGTGTTAGGCACCCAGCTTGTTTCTTACCATTTGTAATTTCGCTTGGGTTGAAATCTCTCTCTCTCTCTCTCTCTCTCTCTCTCTCTCTCTCTCTCTCTCTCTCTCTCTCTCTCTCTCTCTCTCTCTCTCTCTCTCTCTCTCTCTTATCCTTCAACAAGCTTTGACCACACGTTTTCACTACTGAAGCACGAATTGCAGCGAACTCGAATCAAGCACACCTAAGATTTTCTTCCTCCACCTGTGCCCTTATCTTGGGGAATCGTGTTGGGTTGGGGAAGCAGATAAAATAGTCAAAGCTCTCATAATTGTAGGGCAGTGCAACAAGACGCCGACGATCTCGTGTAACGAAGTTTCGCCAACTCGATAATATATAATTTTGAGGTTGAAACCTAACCTTAAATACACACTTGGGGAATTCGAAGGTTGAATCCAGCCTTGAAATGTTCAACCCTTTAACATGAGTTTCCAACCTTGGGAATAACTACAGAGCGCACGCAACCCAGCCAAGCAGTGCAGCAGAATAATCGACAGCACACCTAGCGGGAAACAACTACAGCCACAGTTTCTACCAACACAGTTATATCTCATCATTTTTTTTAACATCGTCAGCAGCAGCAGTACAAGGAAGACTATGCTAGGCTGCAATAGTGAATTCCTATACTATGCATGCTAGTGTCTAGAAATCCAACTAGGCTAAGTCTACATGCATGTAATAATTGTCTATGCTTTACTGTTCTTAGCTTAGCAAAGGTGAGAAGTTACTTGGGCAACCTTCTCGAGGCGCCTTAGCCATTCTCCTTGTATATAGAGATGTGTTTCTTGATTGGAAGCCATCACATGAACTCAACTTTCAACTCTTCCAAGAATACATGCTAACTCTACTATCTACTCCAAACAGCCTAGTGGTTGTTTCATTTGGTAATCAGAGCTACATTTTCGACCCTCTTTTTTAAAACTCATCATGACAACTAATGGGCCCCCTTCTCATGACAATTGGGCTGGTCTTTTGCAAACCTACCGAGCCAAAATAATTTCTGAGGTTAGAGAGAGCCTGAGGGCCGAATTGCAAGTCAGTGTAGCTGCAGCTAGAGTGGTGGCAAGCGTGAACCCTACTGCACCATAAGATGGAAATCAGTGCGCTATACCCGCTCTTCCTGATTTTTTTATTTCCTGGGAGAAATCAGCCGGTCGTGAGCCGATGGCTATTTCTCGTAGAGCAATACTTGCTGCTGAGTCATATACAGTAGCACCTGCTGAATGGATTGCCTTCACTAGAACTCTTCTCAATGGATCTGCAATTGCATGGTGGCAATCTGCGCACGCTTCTATCACCTCCTGGGAACATTCCAAGCAAGTCTTCATGTTGACATGTCAACCTGTAAACCCGAACATCAAGGCACGAGACTCCTTGGCTGCCCTCAAGCAACTGAAATCTATCCAGGAGTACGCCTCTCGCTTCCATGACATCACTCAAGAAATCCTGGACCTCTCCCTTGCTGAACAAATGGATCGCTTCAAGTGTGGATTGAAGCCGAACGTGCGCATGGAGGTGGAGCTGAGAGACTGCACTACACTCAAGGAAATGATACGCGTAGCTGAACAGTATGATGCTGTTCACTTTGCCTACATTAAGCCTCGATTTCTTCGCAGCCCGCTTCTCCCGTTTGCTCCCTCCTACCAGTCCTTCACTTCAACAGACACCAACTAGCAAGCGACCTGCTCCTATGGACCTGGACCTGATGGAGAAACGAAAGCGGAACCTGAGGTCACCAATCGTATGCTTCAAGTGCGGCAAGAAAGGATACATTTGGACGTTCTACCCGGGAGCACCAATCAACTGCATCTTCTCCCAACGCCGGGAAACGGAAGTTGCAAGTTAGTCGGGGCAACTTTATGGTAACAAAAATAGCCCCTCCATCTCTTCCCTTGAAAACCATAGCCCTTCTAAACCTCTTCTTCTTCCCATGACCATCCGAGTTGGTAGAGTGAAAGCCTTAATTGACGGTGGTGCTTCCTCAAATTTCATTTCCTCTTCTTTACTTTCCAAGCTTTCCCTTCCAATTCAACCTCAATCCCTACCTTAGACACTGCTAATGATAAATGGAACTTCAATTCCTTGTGGACCAATACCTTTTCCTATCACTTGTACCATCAAACTCTACAAAACCAAGATTCAATTTCAGAAAGCATCCCTTGGAGACCATGAAATCATTCTTGGGCGTGATTGGCTGTCTATTGCTAATCCCAAGATTGATTGGACCCTTGGAACTGTTACCATCTCTAACTCAGGACGAGACATAAGCCTACCTACTCTTTCTGCCTCTCCTTCTATACCTACTTGCTGCAACCTCCTTTCAGCAAGACAGTTGAAGAAATCCTTAAAAGACCCGAGTGCTTAATTCTTCCTTTGTCTCTTGAAGAAAACCTGTGAAATTCCTTCTCCCTCTTCCCCTTCCAAGGCTGCTGAAATCCCTCATGAAACTCAAAAGGTCTTGGATGACTTCAAAGACATCTTCCCCTTAGACCTTCCCTCTAGTCTTCCTCCCAAGAGAGCCATCGATCACCGCATCACTCTCCTCCCTGGCTCCGAAGCTACCGTCTGTGCTACCTACCGAATGAGTGCTGCCAAGCTGCAAGAAGTCCAGAAGCAGTTGGAATAGCTTCTTACGAAAGGCTCCGTCCGAGTTAGCTCCTCTCCTTATGCAGCACCGATTCTCTTTGTGAAGAAAAAGGATGGCAGCATGCGGATGTGCATCGACTATTGTGCACTCAACAAGATCACCATCAAGAACCGCTACCCCCTGCCATGTGTGGAAGAAATCTTTGATCAACTCGGAGCCACAATTTTCAGCAAGCTTGATCTCTATAGCGGATATCATCAAGTTCGTGTCGCTGACGAAGACATCGAGAAGACTGCATTTTTAACTCGCTACGGGCATTTCGAATTCCTAGTTCTCCCATTTGGACTAACAAATGCCGCTGCCACTTTCATGTGCTTGATGCACAATGCCTTTCATGATTACTTGGACCGGTTTATCATTATCTTCATCGATGACATTCTGATCTATAGCAAATCATCGAAAGAGAATGCTGAGCATCTAAAACAGGTGTTCACCCGACTTCGTGAGCATCACCTCTTCGTCAAACAGAGCAAGTGTGAGATTGCAAAGTCCTCGATTCCTTTCTTGGGCCATGTCATCTCACACAACCAGCTTGCCATGGATCCCTCCAAACTCAAATGCGTTCAAGACTAGACACCCCCAACTTCTATGAAAGAAGTACAAGCTTTCCTTGGCCTTGCTAACTACTACCGCAAATTCATCCGCCACTTTGCTGCTATCACCTTCCCTCTATCCAATCTCCTTCGCAAGAATGAAGGATTCCATTGGGATTCGGACCAGCAAAAAGCCTTTGACTCTATCAAGTGTGCACTAACCTCTTCTCCTACCCTAGTCCTACACAACCGTTCCCTCCGTTATCTATTATGGACAGATGCCTCTTAGGTTGCATCCTTTCTCAGGATCAAGGGCATGGCCTCGAGCCAATTGTTTTCGAATCTCGGAAGCTCAAGCCTGCTGAGTGCAACTATGCTACTCACGATCGTGAGGCGCTGCCTATCGTCCATGCAATCAAGAAGTGGCGTTGCTATGTCCATATGCAACCTGTCACTGTACTTACTGACCAGTGCACCCTGCATTACCTGAAGACACAACCCCGTCTCACCCCAAGATGAGAGGCCCGATGGATGGAGTACCTGGAGTAGTACGTACCTGAGCTGAAAATCGAGTACCGCCCTGGCTGCCTCAACCCTGCTGATTCTTTGATCCGGCCTCCGCAATCTCAGCTCACCACCATCGGCAGCGTTACATGGGATGAACGCTTCATCGTTAAGTTCATCCAATGGTATCATCGTGACCTTTTCTATCTCAACCTTGCCGCTAATGATCAATCTGTCCACTATGAATCCCCTTTCTAGTATGATGCAGATTCCCAAGTCATTTGCGTTCAAGCAAACCACAGACTTCATCACCTCCTGCTACGCGAGCATCGTGACTAGAATGCACACTTTGGAGTGGACAAGACGCTTGCAACCATCTTTGCAGACTTTGTCTGGCCCAAGCTCTCTCGTGACGTCTGCTCCGTACGCAGTTATCACACGTGTCAGTGCAACAAAGCTTGCAGCACAACACCCTATGGCTTGCTACACCCCTTGGAGATCCCTCAACTTCCCTGGAGTCATGTCACACTCGAATTCATCACCGATCTCCCTCGCACCTCCTCCCATCACAACGCTATCCTTCCTATAATTGACAAACTTAGCAAGATGGCTCACTTCCTCCCTACCTCCACTACTGCAAATGCTGAAGCTGTAGCTGATCTCTTCTTCAAGGAAGTGCTACGTCTCCATGGTATTCCTCGTATCCTAATCAGTGACCATGCCTAGCGATTTGTTGGCAGATTCTGGCATTCCATCTTTCAATGACTGAGCAGCAAGATTCGTCTCTCTACTGCTTATCATCCTCAGTCAGATGGGTAGACAGAGAGAATGAACTGAACCCTTGAAGATGCCCTTCATGCATGTGTGAATGCATGGCAGTTTGACTGGGACATGCACTTGCCTTCAATCGAATTCTCCTACAACAGCACAGTGAATCTTGCCACCGGCCAAACTCCTTTCTTCCTTGCCACAAGATAGCAACCTCACACACCAGCATCCCTTGTACGCACTCCTGACACTCAAGCAGCAGCTAAATTCCTTTCCACCCACGAGAAGGTTATGCAGCAGCAAGAGCATCTTTGCTGAAAGCACACAGCGCATGATCCGGTATGCTGATCAACATTGTCGTGCCATCTGGTTTCATGAAGGTGACCAAGTCCTTCTCTCAACTGCAAATCTGTCTTTGCCCAAACCTGGTCTTACTAGTAAACTTGCTCCTCGTTTCATTGGTCCTTTCCCCATCACTCAAGTCCTCTATCATGTTACATATCGCTTTAAACTACCTCCACACATAAACATCCATCCGGTTTTGTGCAGCTACTCTGTCCTTATCATCTCCCACCAGCCCAATTCCCTCTCACCCCTCAACCTCAACGTCCTCCCATGTGCACCTCAAGCCCTGGCCTTTTTGAAGTTGGGAAAATTCTCTCTCACGAAACCTCTTTCTTCCTTGTTAGGTGGCATGACCATGATTCTTCTCACAACCTCTAGATTCCAGAGACAAGCCTCCAGCATGCTCAACGTGCCCTTTCCAACTACTTTGCAGCTGCCCAAGCACCGAGGATGGTGCTTGCTGGAGAGGGGAGTAATGTAACAAGACGCCGGCGAACTCGTGTAACGAAGTTTCACCGGCTCAACAAAATCTGTTTTGGAGGTTAAAACCCAACCTCGGAATACACCCTTGGGGAATTCGAAGGTTGGATCCAACCTCGAATTGTTCAACCCTTCAATCTGATTTTCTAACCTTGGAAACAACTACAACGAGCACACAACCCAGCCAAGCAGTGCAACAGAATAATCTACAGCGCACATAGCAGAAAACAACTACAGCCATAGTTTCTACCAGCACAGCAATATCTCATCACTTCTGTGAACGTCATCAGCAACTGCAGTACAAGGAAGACTATGCTAGGCTGAAATAATTAATTCCTATACTATGCATGCTAGTTTCTAGAACTTCAGCTAGGCTAAGTGTACATGCATGTAATCATTGTGTATGCTTTACTGTTCCTAGCTTAGCAAAGGTGAGAAGTGACTTGGGCAACCTTCTCGAGGTGCCTTAGCCATTCTCCTTGTTTATAGAGATGTGTTTCTTGATTGGAAGCCATCAGCCATCTATGGGCTGCTCACCTCCAGTGGGCTCCTATTCCTTCCATCATTATCCAACATTGTTGTTTTCTCTTTATTTTTTTCTTGTGCCACCGCCCCTCCATGATTCATTCAGACTCCTTTGTGGCACTAGGTTGTTGGCCAGATGGGTCGTGTACGAGCGAGACTGGATTGCTTGCCTGCAAATGGGTTGAGCAATGTTGGAGCCACCACAAAACACACTGTCACACACTTTACTGCTCAGTAGATTGCATCAACGTAGCAATGGAGCAAGCAAACATGTTTGATGTGCAATAGCCACTCCGGTCTCACAGCCAGGCTTTAACCATCCTCTTGCCACCTTCTGTTTTTTGCTTCTCTCTTTCTTGCTACTCCCTTGGTTATTGTTGATCCTTGCTTGCTTGTTTGCTGCATCCCGCAGACTCTCCCTGTGACAGCTGCCCCTCTGGAGCCACCTGCAAAACCACCCCATCCAGGAGCAGGGATCCCTCAATTCTTGTGCCATACTGCCTGCTTGTGCCCGGAAGGCTATGGAATGAATGTGGACTATTGTCTGCAAGGCAAGTGATACTGAATCCCATTTTCCAAATGAGGGTTTTCTACCCTCACAATTTCATTCTGATACCATTTTGCTGATTCCTCACTTGCTTCATGCTCACAAGGTGAGGTGTTGAAGGGGGTGGCAAGTAGCCAAGTGCTGAGAGGGTGGCTGACAGGAGGCAGTGGAGACGATATGTTTCTCGTGGCACCGTGACTTCCAATCTCACCGTGCCCCTTCCCCAGTTCCCTAAAAGCTTCACTCTTCCTCCCTCCTTGCTCTTCCTCTCATTCCTGCCTCTTGCACCTCACACACACACACACACACACACACACATCCACCGTTGCATCAGGCCATCATCACTCAACCACCACACCGAAACATCGCACTCACATCCCTTTTGCTTTGCACTTGCACCCCCATCTCAGGAGAGCCCTCCACGGTGTCATTCTTCAGTTATACTCTTTTCCAGAACCGGCTAGCTCGAGACAACGCATCGCGCCCCGATACTTTCCACTTCCCCCTCAACGGTTGCACGTAGTTTCCAGCAGCGGTGGCAGAAAACTACACCTCAGGTTATGGTGTCTTTCATATTAGCGGCGCTGAGAGCTTCTCAAAGTGCCAGCTCTATGCGACGGACAACTGCACAGGGAGCTCTGAATTTCCTGTCGTCTCTGCCGACAGTCTCCCCGTTTCGTTTGCGGGATATAACGGCCCGACAGAAAGGCCCAACTTGGAGTTCTACCTAGCTCACTTGGTGGTATTCACGTGACGCATTCACAAGATGCCCTTTTCGCAGCTCCTCAACCCTCCCTTCCCCTTGCACTCCCCCCTCCCCCCCTCTCTCCCTGCTTCTCCTTCCTCCATACACTTTGTGTTCCGCTCGTCCCAATCTCCTCCCTCCTCCCACTACCTGTCCTGTCGCTCCCATGCACTTGCTCCCTTGTCCTGATAGTCCTTTTGAGAGCTAAAAAACGACTCCGCATCCCGTAGCCATGAATGTGTGGGTTCTCCGCTCCATCAAGTGAGCTAGGCGCAGGCATGGAGTGAGATATGGAGGCCAGATTGGGAATGCTATACATTGACCACTGGGCTTGGCGAGTCAAGGCATTCCATTTGTATGTACATTTCATTTAGGCGCAGGCATGGACTGCCCAATAGAACAGAGTACATACTTTTTTGGAGTGGAATGAAGTTGAGCACTGACTAACAGCATACCCTTATTCCACACCCTTGCATGCTTGGAGAAGCACACACAACACAACGCATCATGCAAAGCTCTACGAACTCACACCAGCCGACCTATCCACTAAGATCAAACAACACCATCAGTCCTGCTAGCAGCTCTTGCCTTACTGCCTCCAGCACCTCCTCCCCCATCTGACCCAACCCCGATAAAACAATGAGCCAATGCCACCAACCAGCCAAATTGCCAAATCAGATCAATAAACACCAACCGTCCTTCTGCTAGCAGCCCTCGCATCCCTCACTGCCTCCAGCACCTCCTCTCCCAGCTGGCCTAGGCCTCGCCTGCCCACCAGCTTCACCCCGAACCTGCTGGTCAGGATCGCCAGCCGAGCCGCATCACTGCCCCGAACCTCCCGCAGCAGCAGAGCCTGGTGGCGGGTGACCACCGTGTGCAGGGTCAACTGGGGGAGGCTCCATGCTGTGTCGGCTATACTGTGTCGGTTCTGCTTCTGCTGCTGTGCTTCTTGCTCCTTCGTCTGTGCTACCAGCTGCTGCTGCTGCTGCTGCTTCAGCTCAGATTTGGCCTGATTCTCCTCGTTTTTCACCACTTGGCTCTTAACCACAGGGCCCCATTCCCTCGCCGCCTCTGCCACCCTCTTCTCTGCTGCTGCCCTGACTGCTGCTGAAGCCTCTGCACTTGCAGCACCCGCACTGGCAACTGCAGCGCTTGCAGCACCAGGAGCAGCACCAGCACCACCAGGAGCAACACCAGGACGTGCACAACCCTTAGCTGAGGCAACAGCAGTGCCACCAGCACTGGTACCGACAGCCTTAGCAGCGACAGCAGTGCCGGCAGCAGCAGCAGCAGCAGCTGGAGCAGAAGCCGCCGCCGCCGCAACGCCGTCAGCAGCAGCAGTAGCAGGAGAAGGGGCAGACACACGAGGCACAAATGCATCCTTCTTCAGAGTGATCCGCATCACAGCAGCCCGCCCCGGCTGGCAGCCGCGGGGGTCAAAGAGCACCGCAAAGGCACCGAACTCCAGGTCCGGGTCAGAGAAGAGAGCATCCAGCAGCGACACCGCCACATGCATGCCCATGGCTGGGGCTGCTGGGATTGCTGGGACTGCTGGGGGTGCTGGGGGTGCACTGCTGGCAGCAGCTGCAGCTTGAGTTGCGCTAGCTGCTTCTGCTGCCTTTGTGGCTTCAGCAGCCGTGGCAACTTGGTTGACTTTGGCTGCTTCCCTCAGCCCACTGAAGAACGCTCCGTGCATGGTGGCGGGGTAGTGGCGGCTGGTGGCCTGAAGGAGAGACAAAGATGGGGGTAGAGGGAGCGCGGGAGAGTGTGAGACGTGATGACTCAATGGGAGTTTTGTTTCTCGCGTATGAGTCCCCCGATGCCGCCATGTGCGCATACCCGTATGACCCCCCCGCATAGGGGTGAGTCAAATGTATGCGCCAACGATAGGGCACTGGATCACTCACCTCCCCAGCACAGAAGAGCCAGCCATCAATACTCTCAGCCAGCATGTCGTCGTCATTCCCCGTCGTCGGCACGCACATTGAGCCACTCACCTAAAGGGTGTGCAGCAATTGAAAGGTGTGTGCCTCTCACCTCCCCAGCAAAGAACAGCCGCCCATCCACACTCTCTGCCAGTGTGTCTTAGTCATCCCCCGACACTGCTGTGCGCATTGAGCCACACACCTAAAGGGTGTGCAGCAATTGGAAGGTGTGCCTCTCACCTCCCCTGCAAAGAACAGCCGGCCATCCACACTCTCAGCCAGGGTGTCGTAGTCGTCCCCCGATGCCGCCACACGCACATACGAGTATGAGCCCCCCGCGTAGGGGTCGCTGCGCCACCGCGTGCACACACACTGCAGGGGGTGTGGCACTGCTATGCCTTTAGGCTCGTGTATTTCTGAATACGGGAAAGACGGGAGGAGGGAGTGCGAGACACTTATGTCCACCTGAAAGCGTAGGGGTCGCAGAGCACACACAATGCACTGGGTGCGGCAATGCTATGCCTTCTGGCTTGTGAATTTATGAAGTGGGGGAGAGAGATGAAGGGGAGGAGGGAAATAAGGGAAGCATTATTAGTAAGGGCCGTTGCAGCACCACAGAAAGTGCAGCATGCCTACGCAGAGGTCGCCACAGGGAACGGCCACCAATTTCTCTGAACCGATTAGGTAGGGCCGGTGCTGAACCACTCCCGAAACTTTCTCCTCAGCCGTTTCAGCACCCTCCAACTGAGCATGTCTTAGGCCCTCTTGCAACGACTTGTTTAAACTTGATAAGATGAAGAAACTGTTGAACCTCTTCAGCAGTGTCAGCACCCGCCCGCCACATGCTCGCTCCAGGCTCCAGCTGCTTGTTCCTCTTCCAACAGGATGGAAACACCTGACTAACAAAAACAGAACTCACTAAAAAAACCTGAAGAAGAGAGAAAACTCACTCTTGAGCACGGTCAGCACCCGCCACATAAGTGCATCCGACTTCTCCCCTTCAAATGTCTCCGCCGCCTCCCCTGCAACGAGCGCCATGAGCAGCGCGCCGCCCGAAACAGCAGCGTAGGAGTAGAAGAGGAAGAACTCGCCGCGCTGAGAGGGGTGCGAGGTGAGGCGGCCAAAGGTGTCGATGGTGGCATCCCAGAACACGTAGGGGAAGAGCATGGCCACCTGCACGAGAGGGGGGGAGAGGGGAGGAGGGGAGGGAAGGTTCAAAGGGGTAGGAAGTAGGTCCTTGAGGCGGCTCAAGAGGTGAGGCGGCCAAAGGTGTCGATGGTGGCATCCAGCACACGTACGGGAACAGCATGGCCACGTGCGAGGGGGGGATGGAATGGGGTAGGAAGTATGTTCTTGAAGACATAGGGAAAGATTGACCTGATGCAGACCAACCTTGTTCAGAAGCCCAGACGCCAAGCCCAAACACATCTCACCAGCCATACTTTGTTCAGAAGCCCAAAGCCGAGCCTATGGATGGCACGGGTCTTCCTCAGAGGCAGGGGCAGTTAGACATGGTTAAACACGATTGTGAATTAAATCGCATAGCGTTGCGTTGGGGTGCGATTCAACAAATGCGATGCGATATAAAATCCCATAGCGCGATTTAAATTCCGGATTTTTTTTAACCGCACATCGCGTTCAGAGTGCGATTAAATTAAAAACCGCCGACGATTTTAATTTAAATCGCGCGATGCAAATTAAAATCGGATCGCTTTCCTGGCCAGAAAGAAAGCCCTTCCAAATCGTCCCTAAAAACGATTAGCCAAAGGGGTTCTCCAAAAGAGAATCCATTTGGCGCGGTTTTGGGCTTTGTTTCCCCCCCCCTCCCCCTTGCTGGCGCGATTTCGCGTCGCGATGTTCGATATCGTGAGCGGTTTTTTTTAAATCGCAAATCGCATTTAAATCGCGTTTTTTTGCGCGCGATTTAATGCGATTTAATTAAATCGCGCGATAAACAATAAATCGCATCGCGCAATTTACCCCCCCCCCCCCCCCCCCAAAAAAAAAAAAAAAACCAATCACAAAAACGCGATGAAAAGCGATGCGATGCGATTTTTTTGTAACCATGTCTAGGGGCAGGTGGAAAGAAACAGATCCCCTCTCTTCAGCACTCTCAAAGGCAGGCAGCCTGCACACCATGTGCACCCCCTCATGCTCCACTTCCTAGTAGACTCAGACCAACCTCACTCGACTCAACATACCGATCCTCTCTGCCTACAGCGGCTCACTCAGACACACCTTGTTTTAACAGCCCAAACCCGAGGCGGTAGATGGCGCAGGTCATCCTCCTGTTAAGAAGCCCGAAGAGGTGCATACCTTATTCAGATGCCTCTTCGGGCTTCTTAACAGCACCTTATCCAGCCATACCTTGTTCAGGAGGCCGAAGCCGAGCCTGTGGATGGCACGGGCCTTCCTGAGAGGCAGGGGCGCATGGAAGGAGACGGATCCTCATACTCCACCTCCAATCAGACTCACCCTTCTACGCAAATACCTTATTCAAGAGCCCAAAGCCGAGCCTGTGGATGGCACGGGTCTTCCTGAGAGGCAGGGGCGGGTGGAAAGAGACCGACCCCCTCTGCAGCACTCCTAGCGGCAGCGTGCACAGCACCTGCGCCCCCTCGTACTCCACCTCCTCCCCACTCCGAGTGTCCCGACACACCACCCTCACCCCTACCCCACTCCCCCCTCCTCCTTCTCCTTCTCCTCCCCCTTTTCTTTCTGCCGACACCTCTTCTTCCCCTAGTCCCCCCCCGCCGCATCCCCCCCCGCCCCGCTTCCCCCCACCCCCCCATACTCCACCCTTTCCACCGCGCAGTTATACACCACCGGCAGCCCCTCAGCGAGCGCGTCCACGATCTGCCCGTTGCCGCCCGCCACGAAGCAGTGGTGGCCCAGCAGCTCGTGGGGGTCGTCCTGGTCCCAGAAGGCCAGTGACAGGTCGGCCACTCGTGCAGCGTTGGCGAATTCGAGATTGGCGTAGTGCCATTGCACGAGCTGCTGCTCCTCCTCTGTCTCTCGGACTGCCTCTAGTTGTGCCGCTGCCTCTGCTGCTGCTCCTGCTGCTGCTGGCTCTCCTGTTGGCTCTCTTACCTCTCTCTTCACCTCCACGCTGCACCCTTCACCATCCTTCATCACACCTGATGCGATCTGCAGAGCCTCGCCGCCACTACCCTCCCCAGGTACAGCCTGCACCGCCTGCCCTCGCACGAACTCCATGGTATTCCCAAGGGAGATTTGATCCGCCACCCCTTCCATCTCCGCCCGCCTCTCAGAGGCTAAGTCAAGCATCACGTTGAATCGGGCTTCTGCCACACGGTCGGCTTTTTCGTCCACGGGCAGCCCGTCTGGGCGGTAGAGCGGGCAGGCATCGCGAATGCGGTGCAGAGGGATGGCGAGCTGGCGAGCCAAGACGCCTAAAGGGTTGCCGAGGATGCCTGTGACTATTGAGCCTCCCAGCTCTGCTGCCACTGCCACCTGTTGGGATACAGGAGACGGAGGGAGAGGACAAGGCAGTGGGTGAGCCCATCCGGGCGGTAGAAAGGGCAGGCATCGCGAATGCGGTGCAGAGGGATGGCGAGCTGGCGAGCCCTGCATTAGTCACCTGCACCACACATTGCTCACCTGGTTGGGGCCTGGAGGCGAGGAGAGCAGCTTGGAGTGCATGCGACCTCCGGGGCGGTTGCGAGCCTCGATGACCGTCACTCTGGAGGTGGATGCAGGGCAGAGACGAAGGAAAGAGAGAACGACAAGAGTTCGAGTACGAGGGCGGCTGCGAGCGAGCGACTGGCGCATCACTCTGGTCGACAAGGCAGCAGATGACGCAGCAGCGCAGACAGAACCACCATGTGAGGAGAAGGCACGGAATATGAGGGGCGGTTGTGAGGAGGATCAAAGACTGCTGAGGGAAGTCAAGGGTGAGCACAAGTCAGCAGCATTACTGCTGCAAAGGAGACAGCGAGCACAGCACTCACCGGTGACCCAGAGCCAGCAACTGCCGCGCAGCAGCAAGGCCAGCGAGGCCGGCACCGAGCACAATGACGTGCGGCAGGGAGGGGCGGGGAGGGATGGCGGCAGTGGCGGTGCGGGAGAGTCCCCAGTTGATGAAGCCGCGCAGATGCAGGAAGGCGAAGGCTGCCCTTGCAGCTTCTCGATTCTGTGCAGGCGTGGTGCTTAGCAGCTGGAGAAGAGGGGGGGAGAGGTGGAGGGGGTGAGGGGGGGGGAGGGCAGGGAGGAGGGAGAAGGTTGTGACATGCGAGAGAGCCCCCAGTTGAAGAGGCCTTGCAGGTTCTGGAAGGAAAAGGCTGATCTTGCGGCTTCTCGGTATTGTGCAGGCGTGCTGCTAAGCACCTGGAGAGGCGGAAGAGGGGAGAGAGGGGGGAGAGGAGAGAGGGGGGAGGGGAGAGAGGGGGGAGAGGAGAGAGGGGGGAGAGGAGAGAGGGGGGAGGGGAGGGGGGTTGCGAGAGAGTCCCCAGTTGATGACGCCTCGCTGGTGTAAAGAAGGCAAAGGCTGCCTTTGCTGCTCCGCGGAAGCGAGGTTGTGTGCTGCTTAGTAGCTGGGCAAGAAGAAGGGTGGGAGGAGTGAGGGGACGAGACCGATAAAGAGACATCCCCTCACTCCTCCCACCCTTTATCGGTCTCGTCCCCTCACGCCTCAAAAGGGTGGGAGGAGTGAGGGGACGAGACCGATAAAGAGGTTGTGGAGAGGATTTTTTAAGCTAGCACTCACACCAGCCCCTACAACCCCCAAATCTCCCGCCCTCCCCGTCTCCTACCTTGTCCTCGTGAATCCATCCATTCACATTCCGCCTCCAGAGAGCAAGAATCCGGTTCCTCATGCGCACATACACGTGCTCTTCCCCACTCCCCCCCATGCCACTGCGCACCACCCCTGCCTCCACCTCGTCCTCCCTCAGACTATCCGGGGGAAACCCCACTGCCCGCGCCACCTCCGCATCGTGCTCCTCCTCCTTCTCCGCCCTCTCCGCCTCCCTGTTGCTCTTTCCTGCCCGGCTGTTCCTCCCCTTGCGCTCTACCTGCTTCCCCTTGGCCTTCTGCTTCTTCACCTGCCGTCTAAACTGCTGCTGCTGCTGCTTCGGTGGCTGCTGCTGCTTGGTCTGCGCGGCTCTTTTGGGCTGTTCTCGCTTTCTCAGAGCCCTTAGTCCCTCTGCTTTCTCCCGCACCACCTGCTGTGACTCCAGATCCTTCTCTCGCCGTGTCTCCTCTCCCGTCAGCCTATCCACCCCACTCTTTCGTGTGCCCACCCCCCCTAACTCTGCTACGTCGCCCCTTCCCCCCCTCCCTTTTTCCTCTTGTTGTTTCGCCCCTCCATCCTTACTCTCCCCCTCCGCCGCTCTGCTTTCCTCTGCCCCCTTGACAACGCCCTGTTCCCCGTCCCCCTCTACAACTTCCACCCCTTGCGCCTCTTCCTCCGCCACAAATTCCACCCCATCACTCGCATCCCCCCCCTCGCCATCGCTCTCACTTTCCGCCTCGCCATCACTTCCCCCTGCCCCTAGTTCTTCACCCACCTCCACTCCTTCCTCTTCCCCCTCCCCTTCCCCTGCTCGTGCCTCTTCGCCCGCTTCCCTTCTCCCTGCTCCCCATTCCCTCACTTCATCCCCCTCCCCATCTCCCCCCTCCCCCTCCCCCTCCCCCTCCCCCTCCCCCCCCTCCAGGAAAAACTCTTGGAAGCTTTTGTGTTCCAGTCGCCGCCGTCTCTTGCTCTTGAGGCCCGAGTAGTGCTGGAACCGACCCGCCATCACAGACCGCAGGCCCCGCTTCACACCCCCCTCCCTGCCGCCTTCAAACTGCTTCTTCTGCCGCTTCTGCTGCGGCGGCTGCTGATCTTGCACCCTGGCGCTTCTCCTGGGAGCGCTTTTCACCTGCCTCTCCGCAACGCCTCCCCCGTCTCCGGTTTCCCTCAGCGGTTTCCGCCCGTCATCACCGTTTCTCTCTCCTGATACGACATCAACCTCCTCTGCTTCCCCTCTTCCCCTCTCACTTCTCCCTGCTTCCCCCGCTTCTGCCGCGTCCCCTTCCCTTGCAACCTCAACCTCCGTCCGGCCGCGTTCGGCAGTAGTTGTCAATCCCCCTATGCTGATTGAACCGGGTTGGTCGACGCTACTAGGATCAGGTTCGTCAGTGTTACTGGGATCAATTTCGCGACACGGACCAGGTTCGCTGGTGTTACTATGATAAGTTTCGCCAGCGTTTCGGGGACCAGTCCTCATCTCGCGCACCTCCTCGAGCTCGGCCGTACTTGCATCTGCACCGTTCCCGTCAGCCATGGGTACATCCTGACCGTTTGCTAACTCCCTATTACCATGCGCTTCGGTAGCTTCCATTGCTTTCCCCCCCCTTTTTTGTCGCACTTAGCACCGGAAATCTCGAAAGTAATCGTGCATCGCGGAACCGGCCAGGTGCTTACGCGAGCTCAGGGGATAGACGCTAATGACCCCGATTCTGTGGAAGTACCGCTGGTGCATTAGGTCGTGCGATGGATGGCTATATCCAAGGTGTAAGGTTTTGGCTGGGTTCCCAGCGCCATACTTGAAGTTTATCACATAACCCAACTGTATTTCTATCATTGTTCTTGAAGAACATATCTCAAAGACATGTATTGCAAGAAATGTTCTGATGTGAGGAAATGTTCGGCGTAACAGTTCTGGGCGAAGATTCTGAATGTTTCGCTGCAGCGAAGTGTCTTCATCATTATTGCTCATACAGCCCAGCTGATGGCTCCAAGCCCCAACTATAATGCGACATGAACGAGTCAAGATCTAGATCTAACGGCTGGAAACATACGTCTCATCGATCTTCCATCTGATCCAACGGCGAACGAAACATTTTGGTCTCTCGAGGTTTGACGAAAAGATCGCTCGCTGCTACCAAACGCGTCCTTCGCTCAAATTCTTGATGCCAAGAGAAATTTGCAAATTCGCAGATGCATTATGAACGCGGCTCGATTTCCTCTTCCACAGGACGGTTGACTCAAAACCCATTTCTACCTCTCTCAACTCCACCCCACTCACCTTGCATAAATCAGCCAGGCTTCAAATCACTCCCATTCCTTCCCACTTCGTTCATAATCACATGCAACTCCAAGGGCATACGAAGCGATCACTAGTAAGAATCTTCGAAAGCCACTCCATTTTTTGCCACCTGGCTTAGCAGCCCTTTCGCCTCCAACCTTCTTCGACTCAACGCAACTCGGAGATTTTGTCAGCAATTCGAGATGTAGGCTCCCGACGAGCCGCAAAAGTGTGAAGCCAAAGTCACCTCCAAAATCGTAAGTTCAACCATCATCTTGCAGGAGCGCTCCAAACCGACATTATGAGCGCATTGCACTCCAAACCGACATTGTGTGCGCATTCTCCAAGTGGTTTTCCCTGAATTTGTGCCGGGTACTCCTCGTCCTAGTCCCAGCGCCTGTCGCCCGACTTGTCTATTTGGGCGTCTAGTCCATGATGCGCTTTTTCTCCCACCCGCCGTTGCTCCAACGCAGCAATGCAGTCCCTCCATGGGATGAAACCGTTCTCATACGGAGGCCATTCAATGGCGCGGCCTCGAAGGCATCATCACGGCGCGTGGGCGCGCACCATCCTGGATTGGCGGAAGCATCGGAATGGGACACAGCAATCCACGGCAGTACCGCCGCCGCAATGCTGCTCCTGGATCCTTCCATCCTGCTGCTCCTCCAGACCATCCACTACACCATATCATGTAACCATATGTCCCGTGCTACCATGTGTAACCATATGTACCCATATGTGTCATGCTATACCATAAGTACCCATATTGACATGCTATACCATATGTACCCATACGTGACATGCCACACCATATGTACCCATAGGTGCCATGCTTTACCATATGCAGCCAAACGTGTCATGTTTTACCATATGTACCCATATGTGACATGCTATACCATATGTATTATGTACCCATATGTGACATGCAACACCATATGTACCCATATGTATCATGTGTAACCATATGTACCCATATGTATCATGTGTTACCCATATGTATCCATATGTGCCCCATGTGTTGCCATATGTACCCATATGTGCCATGTGTTACCATATGTACCCATATGTGTCGAGTGACCCGTTGAGTTACCCTTGAAAAGATCCTCGGGGAAGGGCCACAGGTGCAGAGCCAGGGGGACTATGGGCACACTTACCTGCTATTCAACAAGCCCTTTTAATCCACTGGTTAGTGACTGGGTTTCTGACATGGTATCAGAGCCAAAGGTCTTGGGTTCTAGTCCCAGTGCTAGCGCTGCAGAGGCGCTCGTGTCTTCCACCTATCCCAGCGAGGGGGGATGTCGAGTGACCCGTTGGGTTACCCTTGAAAAGATCCTCGGGGAAGGGCCACAGGTGCAGAGCCTAGGGGGCTATGGGCGCACTTACCTGCTATTCAACAAGCCCTTTTAACCCAGTGGTTAGTGACTGGGTTTCTGACAATATGTGCCATGTGTTACCATATGTACCCATATGTGCCATGTGTAACCATATGTACGCATATGTGCCACGTATTACCATATGTACCCATATGTGCCATGTGTTACCATATGTACCCATATGTGCCATGTGTAACCATATGTACGCATATGTGCCACGTGTTACCATATGTACCCATATGTGCCATGTGTTACCATATGTACCATACCTGTACCATGTTTCCACGGTGTACTTGGCACTGTACCATACTCTCCTCTCGCTCTCAAGCCACAATTCTCCAGTCACGCACATCATCTTCCTCCACCTCCACTTCCTCTTCCTCTTCCTCTTCCTCCTCTTCCTTCTCCTCCCCCGCCTCCTTGTAGACAGCGTCCTCATCCACTCGCACTTCTGCCACTATCCTCCTGTCAATCACCTCCTCTTCCTCCTACACAGAATCCACTGCGTCATGTCTATATGTGAGACTTAATACACTGACTCCACTGAGTCAGCCAATCTCCACTCAGCACAAGAGACACCCTCGAGTCAATCGGATCGAATCGCATCAGCAGGAATAAAAAGAATCTCCAATCCTCCCATCCGGCGAAAGCCACGCCTCGCAAGAGCTGCACGCTGCTCGGAGCAGGTCTACCTGCGTCGCCCTCAGGGCTTCACTGGTACCTTCCCTCCTGGGGCCCAGTGGCTCCTCCGGCGCCCTGTCTACGGCCTGCGGCAGGCTCCCCGTGAGTGGCACGACACGCTGCGTGCTATGCTTGCTGACCTGCAGTTCTTTCTGTCCTCTGCAGACCCCTCGCTCTTCGTTCGTGGTGGCTCGACTCCGTTCTACATCCTTGTTTACGTAGACGACCTGGTCTTCACCACGGCAGACGGGGACGCACTGGCCTCCGTGAAGGCAGAGCTGCTGAAGAGACACACCTGCACTGACCTTGGAGAACTGCGCCACTACCTTGGCTTGCAGATCTCCAGGGACAGAGCAGCCCGCACCATCACTTTGACTCAGTCACACTTGGTGCGCCAGGTCCTTCAGAGGTTCGGCCTTCAGTTCTTCTCCGCACAGCCTACTCCTCTGCCTCTAGACCACAGGCTCTCCGCTCCAGTTCCTGAGGAGTCAGCAGAGCCCAGTGGTTCTTACGCAGAGCTGGTGGGTTGCCTCATGTACCTGATGACTTGCATGCGCCCAGATCTCGCATACCCTCTCAGCATCCTAGCTCGCTTTGTGGCTACAGGCAAACACCGGCCTCAGCACTGGTCTGCCGCTAAGAGGGTTTTGCGTTATCTTGCAAGTACAACGGGCATGGGCTTAGTGCTAGGAGGACGCAGGCCAGTGGTCCTTACTGGACACACAGACGCTTCTTGGGCAGACGACGCCGAGACCCTCAGGTCCTCACAGGGCTACTGCTTCAGCCTTGGTTCAGGTGCCGTCTCGTGGAGAGCTACCTGCTCCTCGTCTGTTGCCCAGTCTAGCTATGAGGCTGAGATCTACGCCGGTGCCATGGCGGCACAGGAGCTCCGCTGGCTGACCTTCTTGCTCACTGACTTAGGTGAGTGGCCTAGCTCTGCCCCGGTCCTGTATGCTGACAACAGGGCCATGATCCTCCTGTGTCAGGAGCCTCGACTCGAGGGCAGAGCGAAGCACATTCAGCTGCGGTACTTCCTCGTGCGTGAGCTGCAGCAGCGTCGCCAGGCGCGCGCAGTACACTTGGCCTCCGGTGCCAACACAGCTGATATCTTTACGAAGGCGCTTGCGCCTAAAGATCATCAGCGGCACTGTGTACAGCTCGGTCTCGTTCCTGTAGCCTCTCACTTGCTAGGGCCTTGACTTTGTACTGTGCTTTATATATATATTTTTACCCAGACTGGCCTTGTGGCCTCTCCCAGTGGCTGGACTAGTAGTGCCGCCATGGGCTTGCTCTTCCCTTGTCTATACTCCTTTTGACTGGTCTTTAGACCCTTGTCTCAGAGGCTGGACTAGTAGTGCCGCCCTGAGCTGCTTCTTCCCTTGTTAGGCACTGCCCCTATATAGTCTAGGGGGTGTGTCAAATGTAACTTAGGTTGTTACTGTAGACTATACTGGATTGTGCCTTAGAGGGTACAACACCCTGTTGGAAATACCTCAAGGACTTAAGCGTTTCTGAAGTGTAACATCACACTCGAGTGAAGCCGTATCGAGTATGCGAGTCAACGGAGGTTACACGAGGAGGTTGGACGAAAGAACACGAAAGGATGAAAGACTCGAAGGGTCGCAACCGAAGGTTGCGACTGACCGTTACAACTGCAAGGGTGGTAACCGAATCGACCATCGAGTCGCTGTGCGACTCGATAACCGTTCCTTCAACTGTATTCTACAACTGCTTTACTTTCCCTATTTTCTATATATTGTTGTATGCTTGTTCCTTTTAATCAATCACTTGCTCTCACATACTAGTGCAAGGGTTCAACTACTCAAACTTCCGCTGCACTACTCGAGTATCTTGTACAACCGGGACTTAGTCTCTGAAAGATCCTAAGGGCTTCTTCTCAGCCCAATATGGTATGAGAGCTGGTCAGAGACCAAACTCCCAGCAACTATGCTCCATCTACAATCAGCACACCAACGACTTCATTGATTACAAGTCATGGACAGCAAAGGCAAGAAAACCTCTACGGGCTCACCCAGTGCCCAAGACACCCAACCCGGTAACTCTGGACTGCACACTTCAGGACTGCAAACCGAGACCGGCGCTGCTCAAGAAACAACAGGAAGAGCACCAGAAATGGTGACCCCATCACCCTCTTCAAGCGTGGACCCGAACCTCATGGAAAGGTTCTTCAGCTTCATGTCACACTTCGACCAGCAGCAGCAGACAAGGACACCTGTGCATTCAATACAGAGCAACGGAGGAAACATGGGATTAGCGTCGATGAGCCTCGACAACTCATCGTTCGGGCGACACAATCAAGTGCCTACCTTTGCGCCTTATCACTCTTCACCGGGGACGTTCGAGTTCATGCCGCCCCGTGCCCAACCAACAGCAGCTGCATCACAACAGATACCAAACGAGAT